AACAATTAAAAATAAAAATATAATTAATTAATATAATTAGTCAACAGCTGGTTTATGATTTCGTTCTTATATAAACACAGCAAGTGAATTTGTTAAGAGAACTTTCACAGCAAAGTAAGAAAACTCCAGAAAAATGTGCGAACATAAAAGTCAAGTACAGCTTTGGGTTAGTTGGTTAAGGTGCGCTGACTCTGAGCTACAAATTTGACAGAACACATGTTCGATTCCTGGTACTTGCAGCCTCAAAAAAGTATTTACTACTCTACAACCCACTATTACGAGATTTTTGTGAATTCAAAACGACTTTCTTAGCTAGTGGAGGAGGACTCGTCCCCCCTCCACTACAACTAACTAACTAACTATATAATTAATTAATTGTATCAAAATAATATCCCGTAGGAAGTATTTGTATAGCCCGTAATGGATATTGTTTAAGTGTTATATTTATTGTAGATTTAAGTTGAATGTTTAGTTTCAAGTACGACGCTCACGCGGTAGCATTATTCCAATTAAACAAAATTCAGTTAGTTCTAATTATAGTTTAATTATGAATAAATAAAAATAAATATAAAAAAATTATATAAAAACATTTTTTTGATAAATAAGTAAATTTATATTAAGCAATTTAAACAGAAACATAGAACAAAACTGAAGATACATTAATATAAACTATATTATAAAATATGGTTATTACCTTAAATGCTTATTTTTTATCACTCAAAAATTTACAAACTGCTTTTAATATACTCGAATCTATCAAAAATGTTTTATTGTAAAGTATAAATTTATATAATTTTATATACAGATAAATTTATTTCTTTTAACCAGTTTTCTCTTTAATTTTACTAAACATATTTAATATACTAAAATGAAAAGCCTCTTGTGCAGCCCTAAAAGAGCGGAGTTTGGTGACATAAACAATTTCTCACGTTATTCTCAGAGAGCAAAGAGTTTCTTTTCTTATAAAGTATTCTTTGGTGCTTTCTTTCTTATATGCCTTGGTGTTCAAGTACCCAAAACAATGCAACACACAATGAACACTAATTATTCGTAGATCTCTGTTATACTTAACACTGTTTTACTACCGAAAATTTTGGCTGGAATATGCTAGACAAATTAGGAGCCATACACAATGTTTGTTAACTAATCTCTCCAAATATGTACCTGCGCCGACACCACAATATATCTTATAACCATTTTATTTCGCTTTTAGAACCAAACAGTAAAGATCTCGTAGTTTTCGAAGTTTTGTAGTTTACTGAACAGATGTTTCGGTTGCACTGTTATAAACAATTAAATGGCTTTCCGTTTTATCAAAAGGTTTAAAGTCTCTTTCTGATATGACTCCGACTGCTGCCGCACATGCCGACCTTCGTATACTGCTTATGTTTAATGATGGTGAAGTCGTTTTCTTAGGCTTTCAACTAAAGTATTCAACAAAACTATATAATTAGATTATAACTACTTCGTACATCTATAGAGACAGTTTTGTTTGGATGCTTTATTTTCCACAGATTCTTTATTTGCAGGCGTACAGGCAATATAAGATTTTTACCTCTTTATAAATTTACTGTGCTAATCGAACATATTTATTTATAATTCTGTTTCTTGATGGTTTTCTGATAACAACTTTTTTTCGAAAGACTTAAGTAATGAGACGATAAATGTGTAAATGTTTTAAAAATAAAAAAAAAATGAAACACAATACATACAATAATATAAATATATGTTTCATTTGACTATGACTAGTTCAAGTACAGAGAACTATCAAGTAGTATTGTTATATTTTACAATACGTTTTACACTTGTCAAGTTGTCAAAGACTTAGTGCTAATAGAGAAGTGATCTTAATTATTATTAGACTACTAATTCGGGAGTAGATTTTAAGGCTTAATTCGTTTAAGTTTCTTCAGCAGGCCAGATGTATTAGACAGATGGTGGGCTTCTCGTTTGGGTTCTGTTGTAACCATTCTTGGTGTTTTACCGCAAACTTTTGACTTACTGCATATATATGGTAGATTCGATCTTTAAATCGAAGACAATGATGGAGGTCAGTGTTCCTAATGAACCACGGAGCGTTCACTAAATTTTTTAGAACTTTGGTTGGAAATTTTGTGTGATTTGAATGGACGATTTTGGTACAAATTCCCATAACTGGATTCCATACGTCCACATACTTGCTTATATGCCATAAATTTGTTGCTTAGAGAGACCTGATCTGATTTTTTCCCAAAAACCCTATATAATTTTTAGTATTTTCATTATATCAAAAAATATGAATACAAAATATTTATAAGTTAACAATAAATTATAGTTTGAATAATACAGAAGTGTGTTTTAATTTGTTGTGTTGTGTTCCGGCTGCGCCAAATGTTGTGTTGTAGTTTTCGCCTAAGCCTACCAGAATGAGTAGAGTCTTCCCAATTTCTCCTTGTTGTACTGCGACACGACCCTTCTATTTATTTTTATCGTCAAATAAATTGTATGACTTCAGATTAACTATTAAATTTTCTCGACTAACAAACTGGTATAAATTAAACACACTTCAAATTTAGTTTTTTCTCATCTTTTATTAGGGTTTTCGTTCTTTAAACTATAGATTCATTCAGTAACTCGTGGCTCTTCAATTACATTAAAACTTCATCTCATTTCATCATCTCATGTCACAAGTTTTAAGATGCAAATTTTTTAATACCCACGTATTGAAGTATTCTTTACATATATTTAAGTTATTTATTATATTTATTTCAAATTTCACATTTTATTTAGAAGAGTAGTTAAAACACTTTCCTTCCTGACAAGACTCGACTCGTCCTTTCAATTTCCTTCACTCGACTCGCGATCGACTGGATGCAGAATCAATAGAACTGTCTTCTAATTTAGACTTCAAAAGACTCTCAAAGACTACAAAAGACTTCACAAGACTATTTCTTCACCTTTATTGTCTTATATTCACATCTTCGAAAAAAGGTGGCAATATTGATCATGTGATAAACGCAAGATCGGAAATTTCCATAAACTGTCCTGCTATTCAGAAGAACAGTTAAAAGTTTTAATTGTAATTTAGACCATTGGACCAATTAGTCATTGGAAATTGTCAATGTTGAATAAGCAAACAAACAGGTGTCGCAATTGTTTAATTGATAAAACTTCACCAGAGTTCTGTTTGTGGACTTAAGTGTCTGAACTCAATGATTCAGTTATATATTTCCGCATTGTATGTAGAAAATTGCATTTTATTTAATATTGGGTCATATTAACGAATTGTATTATGCACCAAGAAAAATGCTTGTAACCAATTACTAATATAATTTAAGGGTATCTACATGATAAAACTGTATTGTACATAATTTCCAGTTGAGCTTGGAATCTAGAATTACTTCTAGATATTTGAATTTGTAGTGGTAATAATTAATGGTATTTGTGATATGATTAGTCGTTATAACAATAAGTATACCAAAAAAAAAACAGTCTAAAGTCAGATAATTAGATGCATATATGTTAGAATCTTGTTGAAATTACAACAACAATTACTATTTCTTGGATATAAGAATGCAAAATAATAAAATTCAAGTAATTTTTTACTTGAATTTTACTGCAAGTACATACGGAAACAGATTTTACAACTTCGTACGATTTTTTAGGCACTCGAACGCAAAACACTAAAATTTCAAGTAACCTTGTATTTTTTCAATTGTTGTCTTTTATATTGGAAATGCTCCACTTTGACAATTTCATCTGATAACAGGTACACACTTAACGTGAGGCCATATCAGTTGCATCAGTCGGAAGAAGATATTTTTGCTTTTTATTTTTTTAATCAAAGTTGCCTTAATTTTTTGGATGGACGAGCACGCGTAAGTTTGTCCATTTGATGACAACAAAACATCCATTTGATGTTCCAGAAAAGGTATTAAAAAATTTAACATTCAGAAGTTATACATAAGGTAAGGCCTGTGAATATAAGCTATATTACATTATTATTTTTGTTGTTGTGATGTTGTTGTGAGTTAATGCTATTGCGCACTTTTACTCTTTTGTGGCTGGGGGCTTATCCCAGCTTATCATTTATTTATCTTCTAACTGATGACGGACCGTAGATCAGCATATCTTCCTGTGCGTTCATTGAAATTATATATAAAAAATTAAAAAATTTAATAGAAAAAATTATACTTACTTTACTTCATTAAAAACAGTTCACTTTGGCACAAGTTGTCAAAATATGTATTACAAAAATTTAAAAATGTTCTTCAAAATTTTTTTTATTGGAGATATTAATAGAACAACTGTATGAACGTATTTTTGAAAACTACACAAAATTTTGTTTTTTTTACCATCATTTTGCTTTTTTGAAATTATATCAAACACTACAAATTTTTTTTTATTTTAGTAGACACCGATTAAATCTGAATCGCAAGACTCTCGTAGGTTTACATTGAACGTACTGTGAGGTGGGAATCAATTGGCGCTTAGGGATTGTCCTTTAAATCGTAAGTAAATTTTCTAAACATGATCTAAACAATATTTTTTAGGGTGCTATTCACAAGTACTTAATATTTTAGTTTAGCATTTCAAAAGTTACATAGTTGATGTTTGATATCAAAGTGCCCAACAATGTGAAGCTAAAACGATTAAATAAGTTAATGTATATTCTTTTTGTCAAAAGTGACACGTATTATGACGAAAAGAAACTATTTACAGGTTAGAAGGTTTCGAATAAAAATTAAAAGGCAACAACAAAAATTGTAGTTAATTTATTGAAGTTTGATTGACCATACAACGCTGTTTCGAATATTGTCAAACGCTCATCATCACTTATCATTCTTACGACCACTGATCATAAGTACTTGGCAATCCCATAGGATGTCTTTCTGACTAAATACAACTGGAAAAATAAGACCGTTGAAATTATTGAAAAACCCTGTATTGATTGCCATCTACACAATATGGGATCTCACATGACGAACCTTAAACCGTATATAATCTAATTTGCACTTACCTACAACTATGATAACCAAATCAAGTTTAACTAAAATCTTTATTTCAACACTAAAACATTTATATACATTAGTAGGTATGTGGCATATTGCAAATGAATTATACGGTAACCGGGCCTATAGTCTCAGATTTATTATAGGTGGGGTTTGAAGATAACTTAGTGAAATTAGCTTAAAATTGTGTTAGCACTCTATGATTTCAATTGACTAGGTATTATTCTAATATAAAATTAAATATAATCATTAAACTGAGGCGTTATCCGAAAGCCTTGTGTGACAATTTATCTATTAATCAAGTAATGCTATTAATCGACAAATAAGTACCCATATTCCAAAAGTTTTACTACTAAAGCAATAAATCGGAATATTAATAAAAAAAAATACAGTATTTGTCCAATGTTATAATTTCTGTAAAGATAAATGTATTTTTGAAATAATTGACGAATTATATTGATTCTTTTCATACCGATGAAGTATCTATCTCGTTCTAGAATTGAATTAAAACTTAGTAGTTAATAGCCTAACGAAGATAGTCAATGCTATAGATAATGATATAGAAAGTAATCTGGCCCTACGTTGGTTAGATAATAACCATGTGTTAAGCAATCACTTAACACGAAATAATTCTACTATTCTCAATATGTACTACAAATAAAGTTTCACATTTACTTATTAAGTGAATTATTAATAATAATAATTACTTAATTGTTCCACAGTACCGAGTCACCAAGGCAGCAACATTTCTGAAACTTGACCATATTTATATTCCAGACTTTTATCATTTCTCATTCCACTACCACTACGAGCTGCACTTATCATTCATATTTCTGCAAACATAGTAGTGTGATTATATGATTTCTTTAAGGTTTTTTAAGGTTTTAAATATGTTCTGTTGAAATCATATCCGCTTTCATATTTCAAGCAATTTCTATTCTTTTTACAGTATATTATATGTAGATTATATTGTTAATGGGGATGTCGCGGGTACATCAAGCAAATTAATATATAATGTGGAACCGGTGGCATAGTCAGAGGGATATAAGACGATAGATCTCCTTATATCCCTCTGACTAAAACGATAGATCTAATAGATAAGACGATATATCTTCTTATATTCCTCTAACTATGCCACCGGTTCCACATTATATATAAATTTGCTTGATGTACCTGTGACATCATTCCGTTCGTTTTATCCTTAAAGCAGTTTGAACTTCTACTACATTTGGATTATTTGTTTATTAGTATTTATAGTGAGATGCAGTAATATATCATGATATTGTTTTTGAGATCGTCTTAATAATCTATTGTGGTCTGTGGTAAGGACCCGCAATAACAAAGTGTACTTAGCAGACGGAAAGTGTTATATCTCTATTACGTTAAACTAAAAATGAGAACACAAAACTGAGATTTTATGTAAGGGAATAGCATAATAACAATTGGAGGGGAGGACATGGGTTGCCTGAGTCTAAACAGTATTAAGGGACTGAAATCAACTTTTCCAATTAATTTTGTTCTGCAACAATGCTAGTTCTTAACTTTTTGTTATTAAGTTTATCTTAAATAAATATACACACCAATAATAAAATAATTATTATATTGAAAAAATCAAACATAAAAAAATCTTTTTATTTAATTTAAAATCATTTTATTATAATTTAACTGATTTGCCATTGCTTTATGGCGTTTTAATTACTTCGTCTCGGCTATCACCATCAATTTGCTTGCCTTTAACCTTCATAATGTAGCTTTAACCAGTTGAATTTCTTTAATCCTTTCTAAACTCTTCTAAAGTAGTTTTAATCTACTGCATTTTAATGAAATAATGCTTAACGCTGAAATTGATGCATTTTAAGCTGTTCAACCAAATTGCAATATAAAAGTCGAATAAAATAAACACTCGTAAAACGCCAACTTTAAACTGATAAGAAAAAACAAAAAAATAATAGATTCTTTGTGGAACCCAACCGCAAAGTTGAGGATTAATTTATGTTAATTTTTAAAGGATTATTTCAAAGTGGATCCAATAAATTACAACGTCCTTCAACAATACTTTGACGTTTTCTTAGTCGTTGCCAGCGGAGTGAGAAGTAAAACTGATTAAAATTGTCACTTCTTTTGTAGAAAATATAACTTCAATTATAATACTTTAAGGGAAAAAAAGATGATTGAGATTAAAAAAGACCAATTAAAAAAAAATTTTAAATTATGTGTAGTAAAATTAGAAGTTGTAAGCTTTTGGTTATAAATGTAGTCAATAAAATGGTTTGAGAATATGGAATAATTATCTTTACCACGAACTTGAGAAACTCATACTTTATATAATAAGAACATTAAATTTTTAATACATTTGAGTTTTATGTCCACCTCCCATATATGAGGTGGTAAAATATTTCATTTTACTTAACATTTGATTTTATTCTCCGTTTTTTGTAGGATAATAACGTATAGACGACTTAACAAGTCAGCAGCTTCCCTTTTTAAATTAAACTATCATGACCCTAAGTATACAGCATTTTTACAATAAATTTGCAAAAATATATCAAAAATAGTTTATATAGGGATATAACCATGGCTAATTATTGAACATGGACTTCTTTTTTTATTTGTAATCTATTATTTGTGAATAATAATATACAAATTTTATCATGTCCTTATGCTAACTCAGACCATCATGCTCCATTGTGCACGATAAATATATTTATAACTTATGGTTTATATAGGGATATAACCATGGCTAATTATTGAACATGGACTTCTTTTTTTATTTGTAATCTATTATATGTGAATAATAATATACAAATTTCATCATGTCCTTATGCTAACTCATACTATCATGCTCCATTGTGCACGATAAATATATTTATAACTTATGGGTGCTGTACAATTACTTAATAATAACTTTATTTCTAAATGCGAGGTCTAATACACGTAACTTTTTCAGGTTTCTGACCTCATCAGTCTTGTCTAATAAAACTATAGCTAATGGGTTCACGTGTTCGCTTAGTCTTTCAATGTATTTTGATGTATAATTTCTTATTGTCTCTTTTATGTAGGGGACTTTGAGATCTCCATGAACGCAGTGGTTTGTTACAAACCATGGATCATTTACAATTAATCTTAGTGTTTTAGATTGGAAACATTAAAGTATTTCAGCGGTTCGAGTTACTTGCACTGCCCCATATGTTCATATGTATCCTGTATCCCATATGTCTAGATTGGCCCAATAAGCGTTTTATATAAAATGTTTTATATAAAATCTTTTATATAGTTTCTTACGAGTGTTTAATTCGAAATTTGGGTCAAACAGCCCCAGTACATTCTTTTTATTTTCATATTAAATTGTTTTCTTCTCGCTTGAATGTGTTCCTTGAATCGAGGTGAATAGCTAAATATTTAATGGTGCCAATTGATGGTATAACGTTTCCACCAAGACTAACAACCTTCTCAAGGTGAATGTGGTGTGAGCAAATTTTTCTGTGTTATTCTTTATCTTCCAGCATTTCAACCATGTTTCTACTAAGTTTAGCTTCTCTTCAGCTAGATCCGTTGCAGTTATAGACGATTCTGATGAGGAAATTTTCGCAGTATCACCTGTGTAGTTTGCTATTAGCATATCTTTAGTCGTTGGCGTCATGAGTAAAAATAGTGTACAAAACTGGGCTTAAGACGCTATCCTGTGGTACACCAGCCCCTGTATGATGTATTTTGAAAACTTTATCTTTAATTTTGACATAAAAATATCATTCGAAAACGTTTTTAACAGAAGACAGAATGGAATTAGAAGGAGATTTTTGATTTTATAAACTTACCCATCTGCCAAACTCTGTCAAATTCTTGCTACATTATATCAAGAAAGACAGCAGAGCAGAATTTTTTTTTTCGAGTGCTGCTGAAATTATCTTTACTATGTCTTGACATTGCTCCGTAGATCCATGTTTTTGTCTGAACCCAAATTGATGCTCGGGAATAATATTTTTATGCTCTATTATTTTCAGCAATCTGCACAAAAATACTCGATAGAATATTTGAGAATGTTGCCAGTGAACTAATAGGTCGGTAGGAGAAAACACCATTTTCAGGTTTGTTAGGTTTGTGCAATAAGATAATTTCGGCGCATTTCTATTGAGTGGGAAAGTAACTTAGCCTTAAAATGGCATTGAAAATAATAGTAAAAAAATCAATGCAACTTTGTGGCAGATGCTTTGTTGTTTTTGCATCAATACTTTCATAGCCAGGTGCTTTTTTATTATTTATTATAAATATTTCGCTTTTTACCTCTGTGGAATAATGTTTTGAATTGGAAAGTCCATTTGGCACACCACTTCAAGAAAAGTTTCTATATCGGTGTCATTAGTTGCAACGTCTGATATTGGACTAAAGAACATACGCTTAAAAGCAACTTTTAATTTAATGTAATTTTAAAATTTTATGAATTTTTGTTCCAAGCAATTTTTCTAGGCTATAATTAATTTAAAATACATACTTTATTTGCTTTTATTAAATCGATGAAATGCTTACTGAACAAGCACTCTTATTTTGGCATTTTTTTTTAGAAGAAAGCAAAACCTACCCTCACTATTATTTATATCATTTAATATTTGAGCATCCTGCTGATAGTGTATCCTTGCCATAATGGCAGATATTATAAATTAAATTGTGTACTCATAACAGCACGAATT